CGCACATGCGCATTATGACAGACTAGGTAAATTCAAAATGGCGGACGATGTTCAACGAGCATGTGAATTTGCGCTTGGAAAATTAGGTTTTGAAGATGGTTTTCAGTTAAATTAACTCCGAAAATATCTATTGGATGGACATCAATACAATTTCCATTACAAAACCGGCAAAACTTTCTGAAAAAAGAATAACATTCTGAAAAAAGAATAACAACAAAAAAAAAAACATATTAAACCGAAACGAAAGAGGAAAATAAATTATTACAACCTAAGATTAAATAAACGATTCTTCAGCCACGCTTCTCTCCTGATCCGCCAAGCTTTCTCTTTTCCCTGGCGACCCGGGAAACATTTTGATTGAGGGCTGCCAGTGCAATTCAGATGCGAGACCAGAGACATGCTAAATTTTTCCGCCATTTGATTGCAATCTCAATGCTATCATAGCATGCAAGTTTGTTTTTGCCATACTGAGGTAGAACTTGTATTTCTAAGAGAATGTCCGGGGAGTGATTGCTATATGTTATGAGGATTCATGTGATTTGAAAATCTGGCGCCAAAGACAGGTCAGGTGTTAAGCACGTGCTTCAGATTTCAGTGCCAGCACTTTTTAGCTTTTTTGAAAAATGAAGTTGAACGTCAATTTTCCATTTCCTATTCTTTTGGCTGTTTCGATAAAATAAAGAAAACCTGATGTTACGCCCATAAATCAAAATTTTAAGAAAACAAACAGCATTAACACGCCTTTACACTCGTAAGAGAGGTTAGTCAGTCCAGAACAATAGTTATTTATATTGGTCGCCATATTTCGATTTGGTGCAAAGAAAGAAAAAAAAGGAAGGAAAAAAAGAAAAAAAGAAAAAAAAAGGGGGGGGGGGGGGAAACCTTTTCCCGGTCTCAGTCTAGTATAGTTTCCTTTGGAGTCGGTCACAGCACCGAGTTATGGCATAATTGGGATTCCTGTGGTACACACCATGTTGAGGTCCAATGTCAGGCATTCACGTGTGATTTAGCGCGAAGAAGTGGGAACAGACAGATGAGGTGAAATGTTCTGCAAAATACTCGTTTCTTGCTAACTATAAACCATGGATAAAACACTAGAGGAGTGTTATATAACCCTTGGGTTAAGTAGCCATGCAACAAAAGGTAATTTAATGTGATTTTGCCATATCCTTACGTGCGCGTGTTTTAAAAATCGTCCGTTATTCAACTTTCCGGCTTTTAAGGTGACAGATACAAAAATTCATCTTTTACTTTGAGTTTTCTTATGATTTTTCCTCAAAACGTCACACGATTTTGTATCAAATTTCCAAAGTATAATTTTGATAACACTATCATGTGTTTTAACGCGATTTAAAATGCTCTGAATCATATATGTAATAGTTGTAAAAACTGTTCGTTAAAAGTTTGTTTACTGCGCTCAATATACTACACTAGGACATAGGGAGTCTGCTTGGTTGATTTACTATATTATCTATTAAATAAGCATCTAACTTTAATACTAAAATGATGAGTCATAGGTTGAAATAATACTTCTTAACGAATAAGAGTGAATTTTGTTTCTGATTTACATCAACGAAAGGAGGGGTGATTCATTTTTGCAGATGGTTGTCCAACGCGAGCTGGACAGCCTTGCTTGCCTGGCAACGACAAGGATTTGGGAAACAAACTTTTATTCATCAAAATATTATGTACTTTTTGCATGTAGAAAGAATAAAAAACAATACGATATTTTTTAAAGAGGGATGCGCAATACCCGATAGTTTTTGTTACAGTTTTCTAACCTACGGCCCTCATTAAACATGTACGTAGAAGGTGGTTTACCCTCCCTTCTTGTAAAAAGGCCCTAATCCATCAGCCATACGTGGGGATTACCTTATCAGAAACCCTAAAATTGAAGAACTTTTTAAAAACAAGGCAAACCAAGCCTTTAGGCTTTGTTAAAAGAAAACTTCTTCATTGCTTGGAGCAAGTCAAGGCCCAAGCTTATATCTGTTTAATAAGACTGGACAACTCTTGAGTATGCAGAGTGTGCTTCTTCAACTGGATTTTGGGAGTTTCAAGAGACTGGTCAAAGATTAGGCAGCTTGCTTTGCAACCAAACTTGGATACAGGAGCCGAATTGCTTGATTTACATTTTTATACAAGTCATCATCAAGCTGTAACTAATATTCTAATATGTGATTTAAAGAGGACTTACAAATGCAGGCATTGTATATGTGATGAACTAAAATATAAGCATTTGGCACTGAGGATTATCACAAACTGGAATGAAATACTAGAGACACTTATCTGTTAAATCCTATTTATTTATTTGTTTGTTTGATTACCAGTATTATAGTTATCATTGTTTGATTTGCAGAGGAAGTCAGAAAGGCATACAAAAAGCTAGCACTAAAATGCCATCCAGACAAGGTTAGTTTGTGATAAACTTGAGTCTTTCTCCTTTACTGCAGTTTTCAATGTTCTGCAAACTCGGTAGTTGCAAACTGAATGCTGAAATTTGGTTATTCATCCATCAATCAAAAAATAATCAGTCAGTACCTTTTGTTTCTGACTTGAAGCAGTAAAAAACCAATTTCACAATCAGCTGTTGGAAAGTCTTAATTTGCAGAATATCAAAAACCACAGTAAATTGTGCAAAAAATTGTGCTTAGAAAGTTTGGTTTTTCCACTTGCAAATGCTTGACATTCCATTGTTTTTAATCCATCCTGTTTATTGGTTTTGTCTGTTTATCAAGTTGTTGTGTCAAATTGTATCCTTAACAGCACCAAAATTCACCAGAAGCTAATAGAAAATTCCAAGAACTTGGCTATGCATACAAACGAATTGCACAAGGTAAATAATGCTAATATCTTTGGTTATCTTTTTAATCTGGGCAGTTTCAGAAAATATCCATACTCCTACCACGGGGGCAACTTGGTAATCCAAAGGAGAGTGGGGTTTTAGATCCATAATTCTGAAGGAGAGGGGGGCATTCTTGGTTTGGGATTGCAAAAGAGGGGGGGGGGGGGGGGGGAGGAAGGAGGGAGAAATTGTTTTTGAAATATTAAGTGTGGAAATAGTCGATAAACCAGCAGATCTTCGTAGTTTCCATCATGTCATAGTCTTTCAATCACATCGTAGTTTCACATCATATTAAAAAAAAATGACTTAAAAAATCTAAGAATCCATCTATTGCTATAAGGTTCAAGAACCATTCCAAAAAAAAAAAAAAGGTGAAACAACCTAAATCACTGAAAGACCTTTTAAGCCCACATTGGAACACCCTAGGCTAAAAACCTTAGGCTTTGTTAAAAGAAAACTTCTTCATTGCCCGGAGCAATACGAATTCTTCTATGAAGAAAACTTCTTCATTGAAACATGGAACCACATTTTTGTAAAATGATTGGAAAGACAGATAAAGCCTGCATTATGGTAGCCTCCTGGGCAGTTGTCTTAGTGTCTGTCACAGGGGAGGGCAAAATTCACAGACACCAAGAACAGCTACATTTGTAGCTGCCATTAAAGACCCATTGCCACTTACCGTGATGCACCGTGGTCACAGATGAATTTCGTGGTCCATGAAATTCAAAGATTCATATGTTGAAAAATAACTTCATATTAAATCCTTTTCCGACCTTCTTTTAAGAGTTTATTCAAAAGGTTAGGGAGGGGAAAGAAGGGAACGCCTGCCAGCATCCCTTGTTATTTTGAAGAACTCGTTTGTGGGCAAACGAAGGCTTCTGATTGGCTCAGCTTAAATATCTTTGATGGACAGCAATCAATCATATATGAGTTTAGATTTAGATTTATTTGAATTCAATGGCGGTTTTTGTTTCGAGGTATTCTCGACTTTCACATCCCTATAATACCTTGCGTTTTTGGGGGTAACCAATCAAAAAACTGTCCCAAATTGAAAGGTTTTTTAATCAAATTTATACTATACTTGCTTTTATCTGGACAATACTGATTATCAGTTTATTCCAAGTTATTTTTGAGTGTACAGATCATAAAGAGTTTTGGTCTTACAGAAAATGTATTGATTTTTTCTGGTTTTTACTTCTTCATTTTGTTTTTAGGTACCAAACAAGGTATTTTAAACATTGTCTGATCAGCCTTTAGCAAAATAAGTGGGTTTTTACCCTCTGGTTACCCCCCAAAGACGCAAAGGATTATGGGGATGTGAAAGTCGAGAATTCGAATCATCTTGTATTCCAGGGTGTTGAAGAATAAGCCTTTTCATAGTTTAAGAATCGATTCCACTGCGCATGCAATTTTATCCCGAATTTCTCACTTTCTTTTGTTTAATTAAGAACAAAAGAAGGTAATAATTTAGACAAAAGGTGAGAAATTCGGGATAAAATCGCATGCGCAGTGGAATCGATTCTTAAACTATGAAAAGGCTTATACCTTTGGACGCCGCATTCCAATTCGTGTAGGCAATGTGCTTTAAGAGAGTTTTACTTTCTTCATCTCGAGGAATTCTAATGACAATATTGCCATTATTATTGTTTCGCACAACAACTTTTACTTGAAAATTTGACAGTCCGTTTGGCAAAAAAATATTTGCAACGTTATCCTTTTCCTCGACGGTATATTGGTAGCTGAGCGATTTCTTTGCGCGCAATGACTTTAAACACCTTACCTTTTTTGTCTTCAATCTTTTATACCTCAAGGGACTTGATTTATTTTATGTATCCAGTAATCTTTTGCTTTCTTCCTTAGTCTTGGATGGGGTAGAAGTTTGAACAACTTTACTTTTGACAATGTCATACAATTGGCCTAACTTTCTTATTTTCTTATATTCATCTCAAATATCGGCAAAGACAATCCACAGAGAATCTTTTCTTCTAGAAGGCTTGAACAAATTTTCAAATGACAGATATCCCTGTTTTCCTGGGTTACTTGGAACTCAGAAATTTAATTCAAAACAGCAATTACAAAATCGATAATTTTCATTCACGCTAGCTAGCGGTCTTAGAATATATAGCGATAAGATTTTTGAATGTTTTGACCTTTGATTGTTTATATCAGAGAGTGGTCTTATTTCACTTCCGTTAAATTAATCTTCAATCGTGATTGGTACCCTTTTGAGAGCTAGAGTTTCGATCACGCATATCTAATGGGCCCCTTCCTGCCCCCTCCCCCTTCGCTTCTTTTTTGCTCTACACTGTCAAAGTTCGACCTGAAATACCATGAGGCAGTGTGTGGTACGCAGGGGATTATGGGGAGGGGAACACCGGTCTTTTCGAACTAAAGTCTTTTCAATCTGGTCTTTTCGAACTGGTAAGGTCCAGGTCTTTTCGAACCACCTATATACACTTTCGATCCACATACATACACATTCGATCCAATATAGTTGTGAAATATTTTATAGATGTTTAGTGTTTTCTTTCAGAAATATTACAGAAATATCACAGAAGAAGTGAATTAATCCAACTTCAGGAGTGAACCAAGTATCGTGTGTGATTGTGTGTGATATGTGTTAGTATCGCTTACAAGTCAATAAGTTATATATAGCCCCCATAGTCACTTCCAATGTAAAGTCTTTAGCTAAGAAAAGATGTTTTCTCCTTCATTTACGTGCATGAATGTCCTATTGAATAAAGTGAAGGAATATTATGAAGAAGTCCAAAACTTTAGAAGCGAATGATTACTGTTGTGTGACAAGCGTGTATGACAATTAGCATGTGTGTTGTTACTGACTCGTCAATGAAACCGGTAAATCTTCTATTTGGTAACGAGTTATTTATTGATTTTTGGAATCTTCTTCAAAAACTTTTTTATATTCAAGATGCTTTAAAATACCTTTCAAACAAATAAAGTAGGGGAGCGAACATCGTGAATGAGTTAAAAAAAGTCTGTAAAAGATGCAAACGAATAGATGTTGTGTGACGTGTTACATGTGAAACTTGTCAATGAAACCGGCAAACTATCCGATTTATGTAAGAAATATTTGCTTGTTTGCCCAAATCTTTCTGCAAAAACTTTTTTTTATTATCCAAGAAGTATTAAAATATCTGTCAAACGAATAAAAACAGAGAAACATCACAAAAGAATAAAGAAAAAAACAGATAATTCATGAATTAAAGGAGCGATACATAGCACAACACATTTTATACATTACATTAGAAAAAGCAGTTCATGATAATTAAGTGCTACTACGACGAAAATCGCTCAAACTTGGATTCAGTTGAAACTTCCTAAGAATACTCTTTAAAGGTCCAATAATCACTGTATGAAGTGTTTTCTCGATATTCAGGACGAAAGCATGATATTTTTAAGATTATTTTTTGGAGTCTGTGATGTCATTTTTGTTTGTTGTTCGGTTGCGAAAGACGCTAAGAAGTGGAGTTTCTTTCAACTGAACCGTTTGTATAAGTTTTTACTAATCAATAAATAGTTTCAGAAGTCAACAGTTTTCATTTTGATTTAGATGTTGATTAACTTTAGAAAAAAACTTTAATATTCAAGCTAGTATGTGAAACACATAAATAAGCTTAATCAATCAGAACTGAATGGCATTTTGAATTCATTATTTCAATCCAAAACGATTTGATCGATTACAAAAACAGTTAGCATTTCATACGCTAAACTTAGCCACTGATATTTCCACTTTATGTTTATACACATCAGTTATTACAGATACGATAAACAAGAATTTAAAACAATTTTCTACTATTCAAGACAGGTTAAAGGCGTTTGTTTGAAAAAGTCCGTAACACCGATGTGTCATGCCCAGCCAAATTCATAGTACAACACGCGCATATAGTTTTGATTTCTTTTTTGATCATAATCTTTTATTCGGTGCTCAAGACAACTTTTTAAACTATACTCTTTTAAATTAACTATGTACACAGCATATAGGACGTGTTATATGCTTTAGTTATATGTTAGGTGGATCGAAAGTGTATATTTTTAGGTGGTTTGAAAAGACCTGGATCGAAAAGACTATTGTTCGAAAAGACCGGTTACCAGGAAACCCATAACTACATAACAGATAAGAACAATTTTCCCAAAAATATTTTCAAAATGTTAAGGCCTTTAGTGAAGTTAAGTTTGTAATTTATGTGCAGTAATATGTGCTTTTCGGCATCAATTTTTAAATTTTTCTGGCATGAAAATAGTGGTCATTTATTTGTCTTGAAAGCAATAATAAGATAATATAATGATATTCAATTCTGGAGATGGGAGGGGGTAACACGTATGGTATTTCTTGGGCCAGGCGTGATTGACCTTGAAAGATTTCAGAATTTCCGAAGGCCATTGGGGGGGGGGGGGGGGGGGGAGTTAAGAAAATATATGCAGCTTATGGTAGAGGTGTGGATATTTTCTGGAACTTGCCCATTAAATGGAGGTCATATGTTGAGAGGTGTGGATATTTTCTGGAACTACCCATAATGGAGGTCATATGTTGAGTTAACGTAATTGTATTTAAGGTGGCTCCATGGGGTTTTATCCATGCGCTACCATGCAAATCTACTCTACTCAAGTTGTCCTCTTCTCTTTTATCACATTCATGTGAATTCCACTGTGTACTGTACAAGCTGGTTAGTGCTTAATATTGCTTTCCGAAAATGTTTCCGAACTATGCAAATTAATTCAACCAAGGATCAAATAAGAACAATATTAGGGTATGGCAAGACTTTGTCACACAGTACCTGGTTCTCTGCTTTGCTAGTGTGGACATGCCACAAATTAAGCAACTTGAATCATGCGGCACTTAATTTACATACTTCAAAAACATAACACAATAGTCCAAATATACAGCTCATAGCCAAGTTAAGTCGATCTAATATTTTGAAATATCGAATGGTACGATTTCTATACAATTTTTACCCAATATTCCAAAGTGATTTACCAACAGAGATAAAATTAGGAACTCAAAACTGAGGAAATGAACTACTTTTCCACAAAGTTTTTAACATGTTTTGTTTATGCAATAAACTTCAAAACTTCAATATGAAATTTTTCAAAAATGCTCTCACAGATTTTCTTCAAATTTTATGGACCTTGAGCAAACTAACTTATCCTCCAATATCTCAAAAGCAATTTATAAACCTAGGTCAAAAAATGGAGAAAATAGGCAATGAAGTAAACACACCAACACTTAACAGCGATCTTAATTATATTAATTCTGATTTCACCAAAAACATGCTCATTCAAAAATTTCATCTTTCCTTTGAAACCTCTAAAAAAAATCTTTTTTGTATTGGATTGTTTGCTTCCTTGTATTTGCAATTTGAAGTTGATGTGCCCCCTTGCATGGGCTAGCGCTTGGATAAAACCCCATTGAGCCACCTTAATTCGGGTTATAAATTTTCAAAATTGATTTCAGTCATAACACAAATTTTCAAAATTATATTGGTATTTGCAGGCTGATCTCCTAACAGTCAATTTCTTAGTTCTGCTCTAATCTTTTTAATGTGGATCACGGAGCATATTTAACATGCTAAATCTGTATTACAATGAAATTATCTCATGATGCACTGTGCCAACTGCAAGCTAGAATATTTTTAATGGTTGTATTCCAAGGCCTGCTGTGAGCTGGATATGGTGTAAAAGTTGATTTTGCAATAATGGACTGCCCACTAGACTCATGACATTCAGTATGTGACACTGTTATAACAGCCCCTCTTTCCTCTCCGGACCAAGTCAAGTTGGGTTATCTCCATGATACTTTTAATTCAAACTTTATTAAAACTGTTGGGTGAAAAGCCAGTTGTGTCAAATATAAACATTGCCCTAGATTGGCTGACAGTGACAAGTATTTGTCAAGTGTGAAAAAGGGGCTATAATCCATTTATCTGTGTTGTTCACGAGTATTTCGTCTTCCTTCCCACTCTCTGTGTGTCCAAGTCAGGGAAAGGAGGGACTATTAACAGTCTAAAGGGACAAGGTATGCTATACTCTTAGGGAAATGCATCATCTAAATTGTGTACATTTGTGTTTCTTACAGATGAAGAACTTGAAGAAATAAATGAAGACTGTTCAGAATTTGATTATTGGATGGAGGTATACTCTTTTAACAGTAAACCATGCTTTAGATTTAGAATTTCTTGGACTTAACTTAGTCAATTAGTTAAATAGTAACAGTACTAGAGAATTTCTAGGTTTTATTAGTGAGATTCCCTTATAATGAATATAACCATTGAATAATATTTTTTAGATAATGTTTTAAGACAGGAAAACGGTTTCCATGATATTTTCTTGCACAGGGTAATTAAACGGGTGTCGGACAAACACAATTTAGCCATTGTTATGTGGTGACTTCCGGTGCTTGTATCAGGTAATGGGTCTGGTTTGTGTGGTACCATAACAAACGCGCGCTTTCGTTTTGTCGAGCCATTTTATTTGAAACTGAGCAGAGTTATCGGACGCTTCCTGCATACAAGCACCGGAAATCACCACATAACAATGGCTAAATCATAAGCCATATCGCCAGGCAAAGAAGAAAATATATAAACATCTTTACTAGTATATAGAACATGATATAATGAACATGTATTTTAGAGATGTATACTTACGACTATTTTCATTGTAACGCGCTGAACGAGACAACAGTGGCGAAAGTGTTCAATCACACAAATAGTTCGGTACCTTTATATACTTTTATATTTTTATTATATAATTTGCAATATAATAGGTTTGTAAGGGAAAAAAATACAATACAAATTGATACAAATTCAAAACGATAATTATTATCAAATATATCTAGTCTGCGGTCTGCAGTCTGCGGTCTGCGTTTGTCCGACACCGGTAATTAAACAAATTGACATCAGTCTTTTATGTGTCTTAATCCTCATATTGATGATCAATTGCCCTATTTCACTATGACGTCACATGAAAACAATCTATTGTTTAATTGTGAAGGGGGTCAAATCAACGCAAATTCACCGAAAATTGTTCTAAAACCTGTATCGATCCCCGATGAGAAGTAGAATAGCCAGCAAATGCTCAGAATATTTTTTTAGTACATTATAACACATATAAATCTGAAAACCAGGCCATTTTAGATTAAACTGTTTCCCTAGGAGCAAATTTTGTTGAATTTTATATTGGATTTGACGATTCTATCCCCCACATAAACAAGCAGTGACGTCATAGTGAAATAGGGCAATTGTGTCATCACTTTGTCAAAGAACATGCATGTAGTGTCGATGTATGAGATGTAGCCAAGTGGATTCGCATACTATCTTGACAATGTGATGATGTAATTTGGTATCCTCTATATCCCTTATCCCTAATACCCCCAACCCCCCTTCCACTGGGCATATTGTTCAATAGGACTAAGAGATGTCATAATTAATCAGATAATATTTGTCTTATTTTGAAGGTGTTTTTTTATTGTTTGTTAAAAGAACATGTCCAAGGTAAGTAACTCTATTTAATATCATCGAAGTGTGGAGTTCATTAAAATACATCTTTTTTATCAACACTTAATTATTTTTTGTACATACAGATGCTAACAGCTGTTGTGTTATTTTATAGTTCACAGAAACACTAGAGAACACTGCTGGTATGGCATACAAGGATCATATAATAGTATAGCAGGTTTTTAAAGTGAAAGAAAAACTCACAGCTCCAACCCAATCCCCCAACCCCACCCA